TCGGACAACATTCTACAACTACAGTATAGCTGGTTGTACAAAGTCTAATAAAGTTTTGGCATGACTGCCGAATTTATAAAAAAAAAAAAAAAAAAAAAAAATATATATCTTAATGTTGAGATTTTTGGCATCCTGGAATTATATTATAAATAATTCAAGTGAATGAATCACAAATATGAAAACCAGTTGGAGACTACACCATCCATGAAGTTGCCGAGTTAGCAGAAATTAGAGTTAGTAAAAATATCATACTAAATATGAAAATTATTTACAGAGGTTGTGAATCTTTCTTTCACCTAAATCTGATTGGTTGAAAACGAAGAAGGATTGAGATGAGAGAAAGGAAGATATAGAGAGTTTAAATAGTAAAAGAAAGCTAAGCTACTATGAATTATTAAAGGATTATTCAGTAAAATGTCACTGAATAATCGATAAAAAGTTATATAAATGATGAAAATGAGACTTGCTAAAAAATAAAAAAAAATGAATATAAAATTTGTAAACTATCAAAAATTTGATCATAATACGATCAGAATTGTGGAATATTCTGACATTATTAAATTTTACAACACGTTTGAAAAATCAACATGGTTTTACAACAAAATCTTTGAAAGATTGTATGATAAAGAAAAACTGGTTAAATATGTTGAAACAAAATCTAATCTGTATACTTTTACCAAAAATGATTTTATATATAACCTAAAAATAGAAATCGTTGAAATAAACAAAGATTTAACATTTTTAATATTAACAGAAGTGGTGGCGAATAGAAATGATGTTATTAGATTTATTGTCGAACATGTTTTTTCTATATAGAAATAAAATTTAAAATAAAGGTTTTGATTTTACTAAATTACCCAAAAAAACTCTCTTATCACATTTGACGCGACATTTGTCACATAACATATGCCTATGTGTATATTGGTGAATATTAAAGAGAGTTAAAATTAGTAAAACAATGTTGTTTTTGTCGCATGTAGAAATACCACAACAATTATGAGTAATGAAAGTAGGGTCACAAAATCTCATATTTTTACATCTTTTATATTCATCTTTTCTAATAAGTTCTATATCGCCTATATATTTTTTGAACATATATTCCTTCGAATATGGTGCATAACAGAAATATCTACCAGCAGTTGATTTATATAGTACCTTTTTAAAATCAGTTTTAACATATTGTATCCTTTTCATTTTACAACTCGTACATTGCGATTTGCTGTCACAGTCGATCTTAAGAACTTTACAGTTTTCACATCTGTTATATATTTTGTTAAACAAAACATATTTGCATTTCTTTGTACGTAAAATTTTTTCAAATTTGATAGATTCTCTGTTAAACGTATGATGTCTATTTCAAAAAATATAAGAGTGTGTTGGATTGGTAAACAGAAATTGACAATTCGTGGGATCAAACTCTAGGTGAGTATAGATGATATGTAATTTTTTGCAGGATAGACCCAGGTGAAATTAATCTATTTTCTTTCTTAAGGATTTAAAGATTAAAAATAAAATCTCAGTTGAGAATATTAATAATGATAACGAAGAGGAAGTCATGTTTGAACGAATTATTTTTTATTCGGTACTAACGTACTGAATAAAATGAATAAAATTTATTATAAGATTTATTATAGATTAAATATATTTATGTACAAATAGCTAATTTTGTGTAAAACATTCGGTTATTTTTTTTTGTCGTTTACTATTATGGAAGATAGAAGAAGATGAGAGGTCTAATAGATGTTTTTTATTTTCTGATAGAGACGAAGAGAAATAGTTTGTTACCAAGAGTTGGTTCTTATTTTTATCTGCATCGTAGATTTCTTTAATTATTTCTAAAGCTTGTTTAGTATCACACGAGAGAAGTGATGCGCAGATATTAGCGAGACTGTTGAAATAGTACATGATATCGATTACTTTATTGGTGATATATTCTTTCACCAAGCACATTTTCTAAGAAATATCTAGTTTTTTTTGCATATAATACAAAATGTAGTATTCGAAGCGACCAGGAACCAATTTTTTGCCAGTTTTTTCATATTGTTCAGCAAAATTAAGAACCATGGTATTTCCTTTTTTGGGTTTTTTTTCATATATTATATTGTCAGAAGTTTGTTTTTTTTGATCTATGTGTGTTAATAAATTTGCAAAGAGTAACTATTTTTTTCCTATAGGTTGGATTATATTTTGCTGTCAATTTGAATAGTTCTAAATTTAGCATTGTTGCAAAAGTATATTTAGAAATCACATCTCGAGCTATTTCTTTTGGTAATTTTAATTCTGAATTTAATAATTGTTTTTGATCATTAAACCCTAAACAAGACCAAATAAGATCTGTGGCAACCATCTTATAGAATAGAAATATGTTGCGCTTTACAATTTTTAAACCTTTTATTAAGAGTTTTGGATTCATAAAATTAGGTGCATTTTCATGAACTATGCCACCATATTGTTTTTTGTGGAGAAAAAAAGAAGGATGAAGAACTTTTTTATATGCCATAGTTATAAAGGAAGACCAGTTTCTTGCTCCATAAAAGAGTTGACCACGGGTGTGATTTGTTTTGTGAATTCTATGGATTTTTTAATAGATTCCGAGTAGTGGAGTTGTTTGTTATGAGAATAGAGAGAGTCGATTTCAGAGAAATGAGTTTCTAGAATTGTAAAGAAGACCAAATCGGTATCACCATATATGATGTTGTAGTGTTTTGATTCCAAGAAAGTGATTACTTTTTTAATAGTTTCATGTGAAAACGCAGTGACGGATGATGCAATCGTCTTTTGATAGAAGGGAGAGAAGATATAACTAGTTTTACCATAAATGGAGTTGGCTAAAATTTTTAACGCATTTGATTTTGATGTAAAATATGATAGTTTTACAGAATCATCTGCATAGATTTTCATAGATTTTTTGGCTTCGGCCCGCGCTTCCAATAGTTTTTACATATTAAAGGCATCAAACCCATTTCATTCTCGCAGTTATGGTGAGATTTAAATTGTATTATAATCTGATCATTATCATAAATCGTATTTACAGACGGATTCCTTGTTAAAATGGGTATTTCTGTTTCAAGAGATATATTCATTGTGATAATGGAATTTGGATACATTGACATAAAGTCGAGATCAGGAACTGGGCGATTTTTTTCATTTTTTCATGGAACAATCACCAAACCTCTCTGATATTTTTTTCCCATTTCAACTACACCCTTGCGATTCATCGAAATTAAAATATTACGACGAGAAGCAAATCGTCTATAAAGATTATGAACCAAACATCCAACTCCATTTATAAAAACATTTGAGATTGTTGTGCATGATAATGATGCAAGTTGAAAATAATCTTGTAAAATATTTCGTTTTATCATCAATTCTTGACATTGAAGTGAATCAGTTGCACAGTAATATATGATGTCTGTAGCATAGTGTTCAAGTTGATTTTTAGCTACCAAAAAATGATTCATGCATGAATCGTAGTCAATATTTTGCAAAGACACCAACTGGGATGAAAAATCCTGAATTTTTAAAAGATCATCCTTGAATTTTATCGCATTTACATAGATAAACATTGATTTAAAATCTGATTTAGTGGGAAGATATGGTAAATCAATTTTGCCTTGCAAACCACAACGTACAAGAACATCATTAAGAGT